GCGGAGCAAGGGGGCCAGGACCCCCCCAAACCCAAGGGCAAGGTAAAGAGAGGGGAGGTCCCTGCCGGGGTCCTAAGGCCCCCAAGCCCCAGGAGCGCCTGCAGTCCTGGGGTCCCCAGGGTCCTCCCAGGTGGGGAGGGAGCCGCCTCCTCGTCCCAGGCCGGGGTCGGAGGTGGCCGTGCAGCCCCCAGAGCCGTCCCCGCTTCACCCTGTTCGGGAGCCTCAGTTTCTCCACCGGTGCAATGGGGCTGGGAAGGAAAAGGTCTTTTCCTCTGCACACTGTGGGCCAGGTGGGGCTGGCCAGGCGGTGGCTCAGACACCCACGGTCGCCCAGGAGCCAGGACTGAGGTGGGCTGGGGCCCACGGCTCCGCCTGCCGAGATCCGCCTCACACCGCCCTCACCGCCACCCGACAGACCCTGGGCAGCTTCTTTGCGTCCCTGCCTGGCTTCAGCTCCGCCCGGAACCTAGTTGCTGGTGCCCACGGAGCCATGAGAGAGGCCAGGCCAGCTGCTGACCCCACAGGTGCCCCTGGCCCCGAGGCCCAAGGTGAGTGACAGACACCCTGCCCCGGCTCAGAACACCCCTGGGGTGACCTCTGGCTACTCGGAAACCTCTGGCTTTGGACACCTGCATCATCTCACTGTACACCGCAAGTCTCTCATGCTCATTTAGAACAGGATGGGAAACTGAGGCATCAGTATGGGGAGCACGTCACCAGGGAGAGCCAGCCACAGCGGGGTTGGAGCCCAGTCTGTCTCCTTGCAAAGTCCCCCCACACTCCCTCTGCCCGCCAGGAGCCCCATTTCTGATGCACCGCAGACCAGCCTGGAGCTTTGTGTAACTAATGATCCTGGTTCTCAGAGAGGGGCAGCAGCTCCCTGGTGTCACACAGCTCCTGTGACTTGGCGGCTGCTCTGGGGAACCGGGGGGTGGGGGTAGGCAAACGTCAGGCCCGGGTTGCACTCTGGGCCTGGTGCCCTGAGCTGCTGACTTCCGTCCCAAATGCCTTAGCCGGCAGGCAGCTGACAACTATGGCAGGGGCAGGACGGACCCTCCCACGGGGAACTCCACAGGACCCCGCTCCAGGGCACTGCGGCCCCAGGAGTCTGGGAGACCCAGGCCGGGCAGGTGCCTGGGCCTGGCTTCGGACTGTAAATGTCACTTCCCGCTGTCCCTGGCAGGACTCCTGGTACATTCCTGACCTTTTGGGTTGTGCCCAGCAATTGCAAAATAGGCATCAGGACAGCTGTGTCCCTCACCCCCTGACCATCCTCTGTCCCTGCAGCAGCCACTGATCCGGAAGCAATGGCCAGGGACACGGAGAAGCAGCCACAGCCTTCAGAAAAGGTGAAAAAGCCCCAGTGTGAAAGCCCCAGTGTCCCTTCCATCGGGGTGGGCTGAGGTCACGGCCGGAGCAGAAGGCAGATGTCCCTGTATATCCTGCTTGAGGACGCTAGGAAATTCCTCCCCTCTAGGTCTCTGCTTCCACATCTGTGAAATGAGCACTGGGCCATCCCCACGGTCACTCTAGGCTCCATGGGGTTCAGACCTCCTACCTGCTCCCTGAGCACAGAGAAGCTGAGCGATCGCTGAAGGTCACACAGCAAACCGGCTGGGCAGGGTCTGAGATCCGAGGCTTCAGAGGACAAGCAAGGTCCTGTTTCACCCCTGTAGAGCCTCCTGTCCCAAATCAAAACACCCTGTAGCTGAGGCCACACCCCCACTCCCCACCCTGGCATCGAGCACCTGCTGTGTTCAAAGTTCATTTCCTCACCATCTTTGGAGGAGGGCCCTTTTTAAATCTCACTTTTCTGGCAGGGTGTGCTAGAGCTCGCCTGTAACCTCAACACCAGGAGGCTGAGGCAGGAGGACTGCCGCAGATTCGAGGCCAACCTGAGCGCCATAGTGAAACCCTGTCATACACACAAAGAAACACAAAACAACGAAAACCTCATCTTTCAGTTCAGAGCATAGGCTTAGAGGGGGAATGAAACTTATCGGTTTTGTGTTTTGTTTTTGTTTTTGGTAACTTCGAGCTTTCGAGGCAGGCGGCGGCACCGAGCTAAATCCCTGGCCCTGAAACTTGTCTAAAGACACACAGCAAGTTTGAACTTGGATTGTTCCAGGCCCCACGGTGCCAGGGCCAGGGTTGAAAAGTTTTAGTTTCTCAACTTTAGGCTAAGGAAGTTTGGGGCCAGACCTTCTCTGGGGTGGGCAGTGGGCAATGAGAGCACTTAGCAGCCTCCCTGGTGTCCACCTGCTCCACGCTGGGAGCTCCTCTGGTCACACACGTCCCCAGATGTGACCTAGTGTCCCCTGGTGGGGAGTAGAATTGCCCCAGATAAGACTAAATTCAAAAGAGCACATTTATGGTTACATCTGTGGGGCTATGACTGCGGGGCTGTTGCCACCTTTGTTTTGTGTATTAGCCCGAAAAATTCTGCCAAAACCGGTGGCTAAACTCACACACCAGGTCTTGGGTCCCAAACCCTGTCTTACTTCCCTGGTTACTTTTCTTTTTTTGTTTTTTTGAGACAGGGTCTCACTATGTAGTTGAGACTGACCTGGAACTCACTATGTAGCCCAGGCCGGTCTCGAGCTCACAGCGATCCTCCTGCCTCAGCCTCCCAGGTGCTGGGACTACAGGCGTGCGCCACCACGCCCAGGCCTTGGTTACTTTTCTAAGCCTTATTTTCTTTTGCTTTACTTATTGGTGTTGGAACCCAGGGCCTTGTGCCTTGTGCCAGCACTCACCACTGAGCTCCATCTCCAGCCCTTTTTATTTTTTTTTAAGTTCAAGACAGGGTCTCACTAAGTCACCAAGTTATCCAGGCTGGGCTGGAACGTGCGATCCTCCTGCCCCACCTGGCTAATGTAGATTTTAATTAGTGACCTGGTTTGTTATTGGGGGACCACGTTCCGTATCCGCCAGAGACTAGGCCCGATGAACAGGGACACATAACTCCGTAACTTGTGTGGCATGGGCTCTGTGGCACCAAGGGCCCCATGTCCGTCAGGGAGTCTTTGTCACTGGGGGTCTGGAAACAGGTGAAACAGGAATCATTTCGGCCCACTGAGAGGAGCACTTGAGAAGGCCAGGAGGGTGCTGGGAAGGGTGGCGAGCAGCGCTCTGGCTGCCCCTGTGTCTGCCCAGGCCCACGAAGGAGTGCAGATGGGTGCGGGCTGGGCTAGAGGGCCAGTCCATTCTGTTGACATTGTGTCCTTTTTCAGCAGATGGCCAGGACCAAGGATGCCATCTCCTCTGGGGTGACCAACATGGTGGATGTGGCAAAGGAGGTGGTCCAGGGAGGTCTGGACACGACACGATCGGCACTCATGGGCACTAAGGATGCAGTGGCTGGAGGGGTCGTGGGGCTGGTGGGCATGGCTAAAGGCGTTGTGCAAGGGGGTCTGGATACCTCGAAGGCTGTTGTGACCGGCACCAAGGACACAGTGACCACTGGGCTCACAGGAGCAGTGAACGTGGCCAAGGGAGCCGTCCAGACCGGCCTGGACACCACCAAGACTGTGCTGACCGGGACAAAAGACACAGTGTCCACTGGGGTTACTGGAGCAGTGAATGTGGCCAAAGGGACGGTCCAGACTGGCATGGACACCACCAAGACCGTGCTCACCGGCACCAAAGACACCGTGTGTAGTGGGGTGACCGGAGCCGTGACCATGGCCAAGGGAGCCGTCCAAGGGGGCCTGGACACCACAAAGTCTGTGGTAATGGGCACCAAGGACACAGTGTCCACTGGGCTCATGGGGGCAGTGAACGTGGCCAAAGGCACAGTCCAGACCGGCCTGGACACCACCAAGACCGTGCTGACCGGCACCAAAGACACAGTGTCCACCGGGGTTACGGGAGCAGTAAACGTGGCTAAGGGAGCCATCAAAGGGGGCCTGGACACATCGAAAGCTGTCCTCACAGGCACCAAGGACACAGTGTCCACCGGGCTCACGGGGGCAGTGAACGTGGCCAAAGGCACTGTCCAGACCGGTATGGACACCACCAAGACCGTGCTCACCGGCACCAAAGACACCGTGTGTGGTGGGGTGACCGGAGCTATGAATGTGGCCAAGGGAGCCATCCAAGGGGGCCTGGACACCAC